ACAGGCAGACACAGGAACACCTCGAATCCTACAGCTGGATCACAGTGTCCGGGAGAGCTCATTGCTAGGCAGGGTGTGACAGCCGATGTCTAATGCCAGCTCATGGGGGTCTGAGGTCAGAGGAGGGGAAAGATAAACGGGGAAAGCTGGAGTGCCTGGCTTTCCAATAAAATTGATGGAACGAGTGAAATTCATGAAAACACCGGGAGAGCTTTGTGGCAGTGGCTGAAGTCACCAGAAGCCCAGGTAGGGGGTAGGCATAGGAACAATTACCCTGGGGACACAGACCTAGAGGTAGGAAGGGCCACACCTGTCCACGGGTCAGAGGCTAGTAAGCAGTCACTGGTCCAAGCAGGAGAGTAGTTGAAGCTAGAGCTGGAACTTGGAGGCCCTCAAAGGCCAAGCCGAGCCATTTAGACCTGAAGCTGTAGACTACTATAGCCTACGGTCTAGAAGACCTACATTTGTGAGAAGTTTGGAGTGGTCTCCAAAGTGGGTGTGCACAACAATCTATTGGGGTGTGGGAAGACAATAGTAAAACTCCCTTTAATGCCTCACCCCTTTAAATGTCTGTTTTTAGTGTATATGAAGATACTAAGGCTCAGAGAGGTTGAGTAACTCACCTAAGGTCACACAGCTAGTAAGTGTGCCTGACTCCAGAGCCCAGCTGTGCTCTTCACATATGCTGAGTCTTGTGCAGACAGGTGAGGGGTTAAGTTGGGGCAGAGGCAGGTCTAGGGGAGAGTGGCCAGGAGAGTAGGCAGTCCTCAGCCCTGGCTGTCTCTGCCATTGCTGGCAGAGGTTGAAGAACCTGCCCAGGTCTGTTCATTAGTCCCTCCAGAGCCTGTTGAGAGAAGCTAAGCAGAGAGCCCAGATGGGTGCAGGCCAGCTGGCCAGTCACCCAAAGCCTCTCATCCCAGGCTGGGACAATTCACCCACACAGGCTCAGCTGCCGACCCCACAGCCAGGGGAACCCACATGCTGGCCCCACCCACCTTCCCACACTCCACTGTGCTGGGTTTAGGGGTGATTTTACCTTCTGATATACACCTCTAAGAAAACTACTACCAATTTAAAAAGTAAAATTGTCACATGCTTGTTGTCCCAGCTACTTGGGAGACTGAGGTAGAAGGATTGCTTGAGCCCAGGAGTTTGAGGTTGCTGTGAGCTAGGCTGATACCATGGCACTCTAGCCTGGGCGACAGAGTGAGACTCTGTCTGAAAAAAAAATAATAATAATTAAAATTGTTCTAATTAGGATGTAACATACAGACAGAAACATGCACATTTCACAACAGTATAGCAGGCTGAAGTTTTACAGTCTGCACACACTCAAGGGTAACTAGAACCCAGATAAAGAAACACAACATTTACCAGCCCCGGGGACCCCTCATGTCTTCTTCCAGTCTCTACCCTACCCGTAAAAGCCACCCTAACTTCTAACACCATAGATTAGTTTTGCCTGTTCTTGAACTTAATCCGGTCTGTGCTCTTTTGTGCCTAGTCTGGGCTGTGTGGACTTGCACGGCACGCATGCACTACGCTTTATTTATCCACTGTACTGCTGGTGGACGTGTGCGGCGGCCCCAGTTTCGCCCATTTTGAGTGCTGCTGCTGCACGCGTTTCTCTAAGTTTCTTTGCCTTTCTGTTGAGTACTTACCTAGAGCACACATGTGTTCCGCTTAAATAAAGCTCTTTCCATTTTCAAAGAAAATCTTCCTTGCTGGTTTGTTTTTGCTTTAATCAACTTTATTGAGGTATAATTAAAAACAATAAAAGGTACCCATTGTAAGAGTGTGGATTGATGATTTTTAATAAACGTATGCACACCACCATAATTAAGATACGGGACATTTCCATCTTCCCAGAAGGCTTCCTCATGTCCCTTTGCAATTAATGTCTCCACCCGCCTCAGCCCAGGCAACTACTGATTTGGTTTCTAGCACTATATGTTAGTTTTGCCTGTTTTTGAGCTTCCTATAAGTGGAACCCTACAGTAAGCACTTGGTGTCCGGCTCCTTTCCTTCAGCTTCCCATCTGCGAGACTGAACCCATCAGTTCATCTGCATTATTGCCTGCAAAAGTTGCTCCTTCTGATTCTATACATTGTAAGAATGTATCACTGTTTCTTTATCTGTTCTGTTGATGGACATCGAGGCTGTGTCCAGTTTGGCTATGACAAATAACGCTGCCGTAATTATTCAGGTACAAGACTTTGTGTGGACATGTGTTTTCCTTCCTGTTGGGTAAATACCTGGGAGCTGAATTGCTAGGTGTATATTTAACCTTATAAGAAACTGCCAAACTGTTTTC